CCCCAAAACCCCAAAACCCCAAAACCCCAAAACCCCAGAATATAATTATAATTGAATATGCCCAAGAAAAAAGAAACTAAGATTTCAAGAAAGAGAGCAAGAAAAGCAACCTCAGAAACTCCAGAAGATAAGAGGAAGAGAAAGAACAGGGAGAAGATGCAGAGATACAGGGATAAGCTCAAAAATGAGCGTGAAACTTTAGCTGCTGAAAACGACAGACTCAAAGCAAGAATCATACATTTGAACCACCAAATAGATATTCTTACAAAAGAAAATGAATATCTTAAACCCAAAGTTCGTCACCTCTAAATAATTCCACTATGTTACCTGACACCCTCTTCTATTTTATTTAAGCTTTATAAAGATGGAGTAATTTAATTTCTATAAAACTACCAATATTTAATATCCCTATGTGAGGACAAGAATCCAGCAGATCCTTAAAACTAAGTAAAATAAATATTTGTCAAAGAAGTAATTGGTCTTTGCCAAATTGATGCTAAGGTCTAGGCTTTCATTTCTCTGGAAGAGAAGGGTGTTATTAATATCTGTTTTGGTACCTCGTTATTAGAGAATATTGCAAACGCTCTTTAGATTTCATTGAAACCCATGCTTGACAAATGATTCATATATTTTAGTGTCAGAATTTGAAAGGATAAGTAGCATGGTTTAGTAAATTACTTCAATAGATATTTGCATTATTTAAATATCTAAATTAATATATAGGCAGATCCAGAAGGATTAGTCATCAATGAAAGATCAGCATTTCAAAAAACTGAAACTTCTGCAAGGATTGATACCACTAGCGTTCAATGTTTATAAGTGACCAGTCAAAAATATCAAAGCTTGAGAAAGTTTTCAAGAGAGAAAACCGCTTCTGGAAGAACACTTTACCTAGGTTGATCGAGAAGAATCCTGAGAAAGTAAAGTTTACACTTATGGATCAGAACAAAGAACTCTCTGATTTGAATGGGAAGGCCAGAATTTTGTTCCTTAAAAGCCAGTTCAGAAAAATAATCCAAAATGTGCTACCCTTTAACACTCTGTGTATTATGTATAACTTTGAATCCATCAACATATCAGAGTGGGTAAAGCTTAAAGAAGAGTTAGCCAAGCCCAATCCTGATTTATCTAAAATAAAAGCTTCTCCTGGCTTCAAAGAAAGAAAGGTGTCAAGCCAGTTCACAAAGTTTTTCAGCACTCATGGGGAGAGAATTGTTACAAACTTGAAAAGAATCAAAAATCAAATTCATGAACTGGTATACTTAACACTCTAACCTTAAAGGTAAAAATCAGAAATAGAATATTTAAGAGTGCAAAGACAATCGATGACATTATTGAGAGTTCAGAGTATAGGTATAGCTCTAGCTTGTTCAATCACTTTCATGGAAACATAATTTAGTATTGCTACATTATAGCAAACCCTTTCATAGATATAGCTATGACAAGATAGATCACATTGCTGTAAAGAAAAAGTGGGATGAGCTCAAGAAAAATGGAGTAGATTTATTCAGTAATAGTGTTGACATATTTCTAGAAATGTGGGGAATCAGCAAGAAAGATCCTTCGAAAGATTACTCTTCTGACATAGAAATGACAGAATGGGAAGAGGAAGAGTCTAATAGCGAGTTCTAAGTTACTAAAATAATCAAGATTATAAAGAATTGGCTCTTTCTTAATCCCCTATCTCTGCATATTCCAGGTTAAGAACATTAACTAAAACAATCAATATCAAGCCATCTTCAGAATTAGTATATTCCCACCTCTTTTATACCACCTCCAAAAATCATTAAAACCCCACCAAACCCCTAACTCCCCCAATAAAACCTCACCTACATCCCTCAAAATCCCCCTACTATCCCCAAACTCATCCTCTCCCAAAACCCGCCCACTAAACTTCCCCCTTACCTAAACTACCCCCTCCCCAAAAGAACAGACCTCACCCGAATAAATACTTCAACACTACTACACACACTCGGGGTTTTGGGGTTTTGGGGTTTTGGGGTTTTGGGG